TTCTTATCATTTCGTTCCTTTCTCTTCTCTCTGTCTCTCACTCTATTCATCACAGCAAGTTAGCAGCAGCAACCCAAAGGTGGACCTCACCAGATCAGAAACTCCAATTTTTATTCACAAATCAAACCCCACAAACCTTTGTTCTTTTCCACCCCACCCTTTAACTTTCCTTACAAGTCTGTCATTAATATTCTCTCTTGCTGGATTGCTGCCCATTTTCATCAGCATTTAAAGAGTTGTCAAAAGCTGTGGGAAAAGCAGAAGAAGAAAGCAAATCTCTCCCCCACTAGGATACATGAAAACGAAGAAGTGATTTTTGAGCCGCTTTTAGGCTTTTATCTTCCCCTATTTTTTTGGGTTTCTTTTCACCTTGATGAGCGATTTTTCGGTTTGGACTTTTCTGTAATTCGGTGCGTTCCTATATCATTAGCTTCTGACGTAATCCAAATGGGTTCTCCAAAATTCAGATATTCCGAGCTTTAGTTTAAGGTAAAGGTGCAATCTTTCTTAATATTTGGTTTAAACAATGAAGGGTTCGGACTCTTCTGGGTTGGTTCTGCTTTTTGAGTCTCTGTGCTTGTCTCATAACTGTGTGTTTTAGTGGGTTCTTAGCTTGTTTTTGAGGTATGTTTTTCGTTATTTAAGCTCTCTATTGGGTATTTGGGTGCCGTTGTTGCTGACTTGCAGTGATTTTTTAAGTTTCTTTGGCCATTCTGAATTCTTCTTGCCTATCTGGTGATTTTGTGCATACGCATCACAGTTTCAGTTTAGGCTTTTGATGTGTGGAAGTTTGGTAGTTTTCACGAATGTGGTCAATTTTATCAGTTTCCCAAGAAATTTTTGCTTAATAAGGTTTTTTTGTTGTTTCAAGTCCCTTTTTTTTTTTGGTCATCTCACCTCAAAGCTAAAGTTCCTGAAGAAGGTTAGAGATGTTTGTATGATGTTAATGTTGTCTATCTCGAATCCTTGGATTATGCATAATAGCTGAGGAATTGGCAAGATTTGTTTCTCCGTTCTTATTATGATTTCCGTGGGGTTCAGACAGGAAATGGGGCACGTCCTTCCTTTTCATTTTGTCTTTGCCATCTCTTCATCAGACTTATGAATGACCTTTTAAAGCTGGTGGTCAGTTCAAGGATATGCAAAATATGTTGTTTAGCCTCTTCTTAGCTAAGACAAATTGGAAAACGGAACCTGCTATTCGTGTTTGCTTGATTAAGACTCTGCAACTCCCATGGGTTTGGTTCAGACTTTAGACATCATTAATTTTGATTTTGTATGCTATACGCAGGTGTGACGGAAAATGCAGCGTGGAGGCCATTGTGCTGGACATTACAATCATGATGATCAAATTAGAGCTCCTAGTGGAAGCTTAGGGCCACTCAATAGTGGTGCTTTTCTTAGAAATGTTGGGGGCTATAACATCTTGCTCCAGGGGCCATGCACCCATCAGAGTGTAGGTTATAATGAGGATTTACTGAGGGACATAATGTTAAAACATGAAGCCATCTTCAAGTATCAGGTAAGGCATTTCAAACATCACACTTTAGTAATCATGTTACCATGTGTTTTGGTCCGCGTAAGTGTGGACTTAAGAGTGACATCACTTGTCGTTGGTCATGTAGTGATCTCTAAATTATTTTGATGTTTTTTTTTCTTTGTGCTTGCGTAAGGACGATGCCACAGTTGTGCTCTTCAATCATGTTTGTGGTGCTTTTTAGGCTTAGGATTTTGGGGTGGTCTTAGATGCATTATACGCAATTGATCATGTGTTTCTCTTGCAGATCTGTGAACTACATCATTTGTATAAGAGGCAGAGAGAGTTGATGGGTGATTTGCGCATGCAGAACATGCCTGCAAATGGCTTAGTGTCTCCATTGCAGTCTGATATTTCTCATACGGCTTTACAACATGTTCCATGCCGGCTATTGTCGAACTCTACAGATGTTGAGCCTCGTACACAAGGATTGGAAATCTTCCCAAATCCCACAACTTTTGTTTCAGGGAATCGCATTCAAATGGGTTCTGACCTTTGTATTGCCAGGAACAATTTCAAGGAACTTGAAACATCATCAACAAGAGAGCAGCACAATTTCAGGAAGAGATTGCCGGATATCAAACTCCCAGCTACGCAACTCATGGATTTTGATGAAGGGGAGTGTTTTGAAGAGAAAAGAGTTTTTAAATCACATTCAGTTCTACATGATCCATCAGGGGACAATTCAGATTCTTCTAACAAGATTTCTATTGTATCTAGCAATGGAAGTTCTACCGCGATGAACTTGAGCTGCCAGAGGATGAATTGTGTGTTTGATTTGAATGAACCTGTACAGGTGGACGAAACAACAAATTCTTTGAATTCTGTTTTCTGCAATATGACCTGTGAGGAGACCATTCACCAAGATCATGATCCATCAGGGAGTTCTAGATTAAAGTCCTCGGTTTTAAATGAGATTGACCATAGCATTCCAGAGCATAAAGGTATAATGCTTTTGGTTCTTCCAGCTTTTGTCAAATATTATTTCTCCTTTCTGTCCCTTTTATTACCATGAAAAAGACCAAATGAAGACACACCTGCCATTGCTCTCAAGTCTACTATTAGCATTCTTTCCTATTTTTAACTTTTGTAACGTTACACTAATGTAGATTTCTAAAGTTTTGTGGTTCCTCACTATCTTGCAGGGGGAGAAAGAATCAGTTTGACCTCTGGCCTTCAACGTTCCTTCTTCAGACAACTGCCTCTTCTATACAATTATAACGTTGGTCTATCTTCGGAAACTGCCAGAAATGCAGAAGACCTCATTGATTTTAACAGACACCGAGTTTTCACCTCGTCAATGACCAATTCATCCCCTCCTGATCCATTATCTAGTGATATCAATACTGCAGCATTTGATGAGACTTCCAGAATAGCAACTCTTGGTATAGGAATTAGAATGGAGTATTTGGTACCAGACGTAAATGATGCAACCTCTCCAAGTCTGGGAAGTGCAACCACCTTTCATGTCAACTGTAGCACTGAAAATCAATACACTAATGAAAATCACTCCATTTCAAGTAATTTGAGGAACTTAGATTGCACAAAATCTAGGATGGATCTTAATCTTAATGTGGTACCTTCCTGCCCAGAAACAGAAGCTTCTCAAGAAAAGGTCAACTTTTCTGATGGGCTGGGTAATCTGGATCTAAATGTTGTGCCATACAACAATTTGTTAGAGACGGAAGTTTTTCAAGAGAAGGCTGAAAGTATAGATTGCAACAGCAGCCATGGTAGTTCTATAATGCAACAAAATGAGATTGGTGATAAGCAAGACTGTGACTGTAAGATGGTTGTGCGTCCAATATCATTGGAGTCCCTTAGTTCTAGTAGTTCATTGTCTGTACGCACTTCAATTACTTCGCCTTCAAGCTCATCTGTCACTGAAGATATCCCGAACTGCAAGCAGACAAAAATTCCTGCTGGAGTTATGCCTTGTATTTCTTCGCACGAATCAGAAAAATGTAACAAAGATGATATTTATCTAGGTTCTCAAAGTGGGAAAGAGAGCTCTCGGGATGAAACATGTATGCCCTTGCCCTTTGCTTTTACGGAAGAACTTCTGCAGATACCTGCTGTTGCAAATGGAGGTGAAATAGATATTCAGGTGCCACAAGGTCAAGACAAGGAGCCTTCTCCACCCAGAGAAGAGTTGGAGAAAAATCAAAGCAAGCTGGATGAATCAATTGAGGGCCTTGACAGGATTGCAGCAGAGATTATCATTTCCATGTCATTATCAGGAAAACAACAGTTTCACAAGAATTGCATCAGTGGACCATACAAAGCCTCTGTCAACTGCCTAGACTGGTTTGCTGAGATTGTTTCTTCTGGCTCGGCCTCTTTGGAGAATGAGTTTGACGTTACTCTCAGTGACAAACCTGTTGGTAATTGCAATCAACTTTTTCGGAATTCTCTTAAACATTGTGAAGCCAAGATATTGAAGTCCATAAGGACAGTAGTAGGAGGAACTTTTTCTGAGACTTCTGACCGAAAAGGTAAAATTGTTAGTGTTCTTGCATTGCCATGTCAACACCCCAGGCGGATAAGAGCTAAAAATGCAAGGGAGCAGAAGAAAACCCAAGCAGAAACTTCACCCAAGAGTATCGCAGTGGCTGCAAGGAATGCTAATGAAATTGTCAGAGGCAGGAGAATGGTCAGCAAAACCAGCCAAGCTAGAGGGAAGAAGATGTCTTCAAAAAATTTCCCGAAAGTATCAGGCAAAAGGAAATGTGATATCACAAAGCAGCAGCGGCATACTGATGAAATTGAGCAGGGCTTTACGGAAAACTGGTTGTTTGCGTGGGGAAAGAAGAATAGGAGGCAAAAGCACAGAAGGGCTACAAAATGGGGGATTGTGTCTTAGTTTAGGCCGACTTATAGTTTGTTAGTTAGCTAAGAAGCCATAATCATTTGTGGGTCTTATAAGAGTATAATTAGTGAAGAAAATGTCAATATTATCAATCTTGGTGAGTTACTGCTTGAACCCCTTCTTCTTGACTGAATTAATTTCGGGACAATTAGTAGTAATCGAAGGTTAATATGATGAGACATTTCAGTCGACAAAATAACATTGAATAAGAGAATGTAGGATGTCATTCAAAAATCAATACTCAATCTACAATTCAGATTGAAGACACAAATGAGGTTTACCAAACAAGACCAAAGGGAAACAAACAACACGAACAATTACAACACTTTCTGATCGCAACAAATGAAATTCTACAAAAGTCACAAACAAGTACTCAGAAACTCTATCAGTTGTTATTGATGATGGATTAGAAGCCAGAAATATCAAGATCAACAAACATCCACCACCATCTCTTTCAGGAAAAAAGTTTATGTCAAATTCTGAAATTTTGAATCAAACCTAATCATCGCCAGAGATTCCAGTCCCCTCTTTATACACATATGTTGTGCCATAATCATCATCATAGATCATCGTCTTCCCGGAACTCTGTCCTACTTCATCTGCAGGGATATTCTCATTCTTCCTCTTTCGACTGACAATTTTTCCTCCCTTGGAAGACTTGGAATCATCCCTTTTGATTTTGCACAAAACAAAGTCAGAAGGGTTGATTTTCCCCGCTTCTGGAATGCCATTGGCAGCAGCATCAATTGAATATTCTGTCATTGTCCACTGCCCAACAGTTTGATCTTTGGATTCAAACGTAAATCTCTTACTTTCTCCGATTTTCCTTCCTGACCCATTATTGGCCTTGACTAGCTTGGTGCCAGATTTAACATTCCAAGAACCACAACCAGCCACTCTGTTCTTGTGCTTACCGTTCTTGGAATTCTTCTTCGAAATATATGTAAGGGGAGTGAAAATATACAGAACTTTCTCAGACTTCACGACTTTATTCGATGAATTCAGCACCATCTGCCATGGAAGATCATCGGACAAGAATTCCCATGGGGTGGAATTAGCCCCGTACAGATTTCGTTCAGCGAAAACACTCTGTTCCCCTTCTTCCATCAAGGGATGTCCTAAAATCTTCTCTTTCAGATAATGAGAAACCAACTCTTCTTCAGTCGGATTGAACCGAAATCCAACAGAAACCATTTTTTCTCTTTTTTGAACACAGCCCACACCAAGAACTTAACTTCAGAAGCAAAAGAACCCAATGAAAAAACGATTGAGAAAAATCGATTCTTGAAGACAACTGAGGAGAAAGATCGGTCTTTTACTTCGAAATTGACCCCAGAAGACTGATGGGTTCTTCAAATACTCTGAACCCTTATGTAAAAAGAACCCAAATGGAAAAAAGTAAAAGTAAATTGATCAAACTGAAAGAGAGTTTCAGTACGAGCCGAATGAAAATCTGGAAAGAAATGCCGCAAAACCCAGTTGGTGAATCAATGTAATGTAAAGAAATTCAGGAAGAACGTTGAAAGATGAAATTGATCGAACAAGGGCTTAAGATTTCTATTCGAAGTATCATGAAAGCCCCCAATTTGAATTGAAGAAATCTGAGTATAGGAGGGGAAAAAGAAAGAAAAAGGAAAACGGAGTTTGATCGGACGGACAAGAAATAGGGATTGGACGATGAGATTGCAGGGGATTCAATTTCCCCCCTTTGACCGTTGGTTTGGTTTCCAAATTAGAAGTGGATTTTCTTTGGTGACTTCAGTTTGTGGCTTATTTTTCGTTTTGGTTTTAAAAAAAAAAAGTTATTTGTATTAGAAATATAAAAAGTTATATTGGAAATATAAAATGGTACGATGGGATAGGACAATTATTATTTAATTATTTTAAAAAAATCATCAAAAAAACCTTCCAAACAGAGCTAGCTAAAAAGGTAGAAATAGAATCATATCAATTGTGGTGCAATACTATAAAAAAAAGTGATCAGATTTTTCATCAAATACAGCATAAACATGGAACAAGAGACTGTTATACATGACTCAAATATCAATTCATTTTGAATAGTTTGCAAATACACAGTTAATATAAGACAGTCTCCTATCAACAATTACAAATTTGATTACTAAGAAGACACTAAATAAGTACTAACTGATTTCAACTTGTTCTTTTTGAAGTTCTGTTATCCTGTTTCTAGCAACACATTCTCATTCTTTCTCCGGCGACACACAATTTTTCCTCCCTTGGACGATTTTGAATCATCCCTTTTTATTTTACATAATACATAATCAGAGTAATTAATTCCTTCAACATCCAGAATCCCCATTGGCAGTTGCATCAATTGAATATTCTGTCATTGGGGATATAAAGGTCAAGTTCTTGCGTTCTTCGATTTTCCTTCCTGACCCATTATTGGCCATGACTGTCTTGGCCGAAGAATGAACATGCCAACTACCACAACCAGCCACTCTGTTTTTCTGCTTATTGTTCTTTGAATTTTTGTCCCCAACTTCGGAGAGGACAGTGAAAACGTACAGGGTTTTCTGAGATTCCACAATTGTGTCCATTGAATCCATCACAATCTGCCATGGAAGATCATCGGATAATAACTCCCAAGGGGTGGCATCATCCCCATACAAATCTTTCACGGCGAAAAATCTCTCCTCTTTCATCAATGTCTGTCCTAAAATCATCTTCCTCAGACAATACCAAACGAAGCCAACTGTTCAGCAGTTGGATTGAATAGACTTCCAACAACAGCTCTGTTCGCTGTTTGATCATAAACCCACTTGAAAACACCTACCAAAATGCCTTAATGGGCAGGAAGTACAGAAGGTTAAATAGATAAAAAAATCTGAGGGAATTGATTAGATTGATGACCTAAAAATTGTATCTTGTAAGAGAACTGAAGAAGATCAGAAGAAGGAAGAACCGGAATCTTTGATGGATGGGTTCTTCAAGTACTCTATTTCCTTGAGAATCGAAGAGAAACCTCGGAAGAAAAGTAGATGAAATTTGATCAAACGATTTCTGTTCGGGGAGTACGATAATTAAGACAGGAATAATGTCGGAAAAGAAAATTTCTCTGATCAGTTAAGGAACTCAGGAAGAAAGTAAGGAGGATTTCAGATCTCAATTGGAATTTGGACAATAATGTTGCAGAACAAAATTGGTTGGATTAACAATGTAAGAAAGAAACTCAGGAAGAAAGAAGGGATGAAAAATCAATTCAACAGGATTTCAGTTCTCTAAATCGGAATTACGAAACTTATGTGGAAACTGTGACTTAGGTTACTTTGGACGGAAATTCTGTAAGACTATAAAAAACTAAGGGAGATCCGTTAATCTAGACAGGAAATGGACCGATTTGACGAAATTGACGAAAATTTTAAACATTAAGGTAAAGTTGACTAACCAAAAATTTATTAAGTATGATTGACGACGAGGGCAAATCTTTAAGTAAAAACAACATTTTTTCCCTGTGGGTTGCAGCTAATGGAAAATCTGATGTTTATGGCGGCAGTATATTTATTTTATATAGATATGAAGAGTGGGGTTTGATCGGACGGATGAGAATCGGGGATTGGATCGAACGGACAAGATTAAACTATGGGAAAGAGGGTTCAATTTTCCCTCGTTGTGATCGTGACCGTTGCCATAGTTTCCAAATTAGAGGGGTTTTTTTTTTTCACCCCGGCATATTATCTTTCATAACGTGAATCTTTTTGTTTAATTTTATTTTTTCGGGCAAAATAAAACGCAAAGTTTGTTAATTGGGACAGAAATTGAAACCTCAAGGTAGCTAATTATTTAAACCAAAAATAAAACAAGAATTCTTTTTTTCTCTCTCTTTTGTTGCCTTATTTTACTATATATCCTAAAATTTGTTAAATCTCTATTTGTTATAAACTGTGTTATTTCAAATGTCTAGTTCCTATTCACAATTATATGAAGGCTAGCGATATTGCCAGAGCACAAATTAGCCTCCAGAGCAACATTGTGATCTCTTGACCAAAATACCCCCATTTTAATTCAACCACACCCTCAAAACTTCACAAGTCGCGGCCCTCTCTGCCCTCTCGTCCACCTCCAATCATCATCCCATAGCCTCTCAACCACGGAGGCTGACAAAATTTTTAATTTTCTTCTCCATTTACAATAGTATTCAATCATCTCAAAAAAAAAAAAAAAATTCAAGATTGGCGAAAATTTTAATCTTATCTCTACAGATATCTTGATCGGTGATAACGGTTTGTAAGCCTTTGGATTTTGATTTACGAAGTTATTTGGGTTTGCTATCAAAAAGAGAGTAGAAGCTCCAGACAAAATGGAGTTTGTGATTGACTAATTTGATAGAAATTTATGCAATGGCACATGCTGCACTCATCATTTTCTTCATCTCTGTTGACACTTGACACCTATTGTTTTTAAGGATTCTTGAGCTCGCCCTTCAAGGTATTGGTTCACTGAATTCAAGCGATCTAAAAAGTTGTTTTAAAGATGAGTACTAGCGAAGAGAAGCAATCGGATGCTGTGAAATTGTAACAAAATTTTCATAATTGCATCAATTCTTTGTCTATTTTGATCTTTTGGGTTTTGATGATGTTTTTCATTCTGATGTAGTGAAGAATCAATTGACCCAATTTGTATTTTCCTGGGCAAATTGTTTGGTTGGGAACTTGCAAACCGTACGTGGAATCGTCACCGATAGACAAAAGATATACAATAATCGGTAGGAATTGAGCAAGAAAGGGATAATTTTGTAAAGAGAGTATTTTTTTACTCTGGAAACTAATTTATGCTCTGACAATATCGCTAGGCTTATATGAAAATATTTTATGGAACCATTCTCCTTTTTCCTGTATCTTTTTCATGTAAAAGATATATAAAAAAATCTCAGAACCAATTTCGCAAACCAAGAAAATCTTGCATTCGATCTACTGGTACGAAGACCGTGAAATAAATACATCAAATTTCTTTTCTAGAGAGAGAGAGAGAGAGAATAGATAAATAAATTTTAAAAAAATTGCACATGCAAAGGGCTAAAGGCAATTAATGTGGCCAAATCATAAAAGAGTTTTACCGACAATGATACAAATAATAAAAATTGTGAAAGAAAGATTACTACATGAACCATCAATTATATGAAAAACAGAGTTGGGAAAATATTTGTTTTGTGTTAAACGACTACTAAAAATGGGGTGTAAGAATTATGTTAAGACTTGTTTGAAATAGTCAGAAATATACTCTCTCCGGTCTTTTATTATAAGGTATTTTGATTTGTTTTAAAGTTTATCTAGTATATTTTTCTAATTGAAAATAAAACCTTAAAAAATATATATTTTCACATTTATTGTATTTTTTAAATTAATATGAAATATTTTTAAGGTTTTATTTTTAGTTAGAAAAATATATTAAATGAAATTTAAGATAAATCAAAATACCTTATAATAAGGACCGGATGAAGTAATAAGGATAATTGTGATTGAGAGAGAGATACTTACTATCATTCATTCCATTTAATCTTACTATATATTAAAGGAATTTTTCTCAAAAGACACACGTCAGTCAATTAGATCATCGATAATTTTCAAGTACACGTGTCATCTTTTAATTCGTTGAGAATTTTTTGTAGTACACATGTCATCTTCTAATTCATGGAATTTTTTTTTACTTGTATTTTATACAAGTGAAATGGTTATTTTAAACATGGTAAAATAGTTATTTTCTAAAAAATAACTTTCTTCGAATTAGAATATTGAAGCCAACAATTTCCGAATCATCACATTGATCGGAAAATTATCTCCGGCCACAAAGACCTCCAAACACGCCAATTACAAATTTGGCGTCATCGCTGGCTCATCTCCGCCTAAATTCCGGAGAGTATAATTCGAAGATATATATACGTCGGTTATAATAATATACTAATGGGCGGCCCGTCCGTTGGACGGGTTGTGGAGTATTTACACAAAAATTAGTGCATAAAATAAAGTCTCGATTGAATAATCAATTAATTATTATAATAGTGTAATAAATATTAAAGGGCAGAGTATACGTACATGAAGATAAAAAATGAAAAATATGAATGTGGCACAGAAGAACCGAGCACTCCATTTTACCGATTGAAAAGCAAAGGCACAACCTGGCATTACCAACCCAACTCCTCTACGAAGACAAAGACGAATAAAGCAGACAAAGATATTAACTTGATCTAAGATAATAGTCATATAGTGATCCTAAAGAGATAGTCATTTTATCATGCGTACAGTTCTTCAAAGCGCTGGCATAAAATAATCGATCTTGATACAAAATAAGTTTAGCACTCCTTTTACTTGGTACAAAATAATCAGTCTATTATGACCCCAAAAGTGCGATTCAAATCAAATTAGTCACACCTTTCACATGAAAATGTTTACATTATTTTTAGTCACACCTTTTCAAGTGCTTCTTTGTAAACCATATTAGTAGTGCGACATCCAAAATCCCTATTATTATTACAAATGAGAACTTTTAATCATTTTCTTGATTTCACTCTAAATAAGGCAACATATAACTGACCATGAGTGAAAACTGGACGTCTTAATAATAGACCAACATTTGAAAGTGATTGCCCTTGACTTTTGTTTATTGTCATGGCGAAGCAAGCAATAACTGGAAATTGTCTCCTTTTGATTTTAACCGGTATACTCTTATCGGTGAGATCAATAACCATTCGGGGAATAAAAACTCTACGACCAATATTTGTACTTGAAATTGTTTTTGCGTGAATCACTCGTTCACCCAAATCAAGAACTTGCAATCTTGTCCCATTGCAAAGACCTCCAGACTGATCCAAATTTTGAAGTAACATAACGGGAACACCAACCTTAAGTGTCAATTTATGATTTGGCAAACCTGAACATTTAATGTTGTTTAGAAAATCGACGGAGTATATCAGATTATCTTCGCTATTGAAAGGTTTATCTTGAGTTTCAACACTGTCATAACTATAATAAACCTTAGTATTTCCACTCAAAAGAGTCAACATATGATCATTGATAGCATCCACATCATCATGAGTTGGAGCTAGAATGGCCCTTTCATCAAAAAAATTTGGTATATCCAAACATTGTTCTATTTTTGGATAAATGATTTCGCAAATAGTAGAGATTAGATTACCAGAACCATTGACACATATATCCTCAGGAAGATCAATATCTATTATGCCATCATTTGTTTCTCCTTCTTTTCCATCACCAATTCTGAGTAATCATTCAGAAAACTCTTTAACCTCAACAGATAATTCTTTGTTATTCCCTTGGTAAAGTCTCATATTCTCTGTTAATCTTAATACTTCACAAGATGTCCAAATGGGAGAAGAATTTATAGATGCACGAACAATTTGCTGTCGGGACGCCTTTGGAATAACAACCAAAATCTATCTGAAATCACCCCCGAAAACTGTTACAATTCCACCAAAACAATACCTATGGCACATAGGTGCTTCATCCCATATAATTAACTTTGTGCTTGCGAAGAAATCTGCCAAATCACTTCCAGGATCTATTTTACAAACAGAATGGTCATATATGTTAAGAGGTATCTTAAACCTTGAATGACCTGTTCGACCACCTTCCAAAAGAAGCGAAACAATACCACTCGAAGCAACAATTAAACAATATCACCTTTGTGGCGCAAATTAGCAGATAATGTTTTCCACATGTATGTCTTTCCAGTCCATAT